CCAGAGATGTGACTATTGGTGATGATGGGGTGTTGAGGATGCATGGCCAGATTTGTGTGCCCAATGTGAATGGACTTCGGGAGTTGATTCTAGAGGAGGCCCATAGCTCGCGGTATTCCACCCATCCGGGTGCCACGAAGATGTATCAGGATTTGAGGCAGAATTATTGGTGGAGAAGAATGAAGAAAGATATTGTGGGATTTGTAGCTCGGTGTCTCAATTTTCAGCAGGTTAAATATGAGCATCAGAGACCGGGTGGTTTGCTTCAGCAGATGGTCATTCCTGAGTGGAAGTGGGAGAGGACCACTATGGACTTTGGTGTTGGACTTCCACGGACTTTGAAGAAGTTCGATGCTATTTAGGTGATTGTGGATCGACTGACCAAGTCCACGCACTTTATTCCTGTGTGTACTACCTATTCTTCATAGCGGTTGGCAGGGATTTATATCCGGGAGATTGTTCGTTTGCATGGTGTTCCGGTTTCCATCATTTCAGACAGAGGTACTCAGTTTACTTCGCAGTTTTGGAGAGCCGTGTAGAGAGAGTTGGGTACTCAGGTGGAGTTAAGCACAACTTTTCATCCACAGACGGACGGGCAGTCCGAGCATACTATTCAGATATTGGAGGACATGTTGCGTGCTTGTGTTATTGATTTCGGAGGGTCATGGGATGAGTTTCTACCACTTGCAGAGTTTGCTTATAACAACAGCTACCAGTCGAGTGTTCAGATGGCTCCATATGAGGCTTTGTATGGGAGGCAGTGTAGATCTCTAGTTGGTTGGTTCGAGCCGGGTGAGGCTAGGCTATTAAGGACTGATTTGGTACATGATGCTTTGGAGAAGGTGAAGGTGATTCAGGAGAGGCTTCGTACGACGCAGTCGAGGCAAAAGAGTTATGCCGATAGGAAGGTTCGAGATGTGTCCTACATGGTTGGCGAGAAGGTTCTGTTGTTTCACCCATGAAGGGTGTTATGAGATTTGGGAAGAAACGAATATTGATTCCTCGGTTCATTGGGCCTTTTGAGGTGCTTCGGAGGATTGGGGAGGTGGCTTATGAGCTTGCTTTGCCACCCAGCTTGTCGAGTGTGCATGCGATATTTCATATTTCTATGCTCCGAAAGTATATTGGGGATCCGTCTCATGTTTTGGACTTCATCACGGTTCAGTTGGATTATAATTTAACCTTTGATGTGGAGCCACTAGCTATTTTGGGTCGTCAGGTTCGAAAGTTGAGGTCAAAGGATATAGCTTCAGTGAAAGTGCAATAGAGAGGTCGGCTCGTGGACGAGGCTACCTGGGAGACCGAGCGGGAGATGCAGAGCAGATATCCTCACCTATTTGAGGCTTCAGGTATGTTTCTTGACTCGATCGAGGACGAACGTTTGTTTAAGTTGGGGAGGATGTGACGACCCGGCCAGTCGTCTCATGAGTTACCGCTCCGTTTTCCCCATTTATGCTTCTTTATGCTTCGTTATCCGTGTTTTATGTGATCGGGTTGATCAATTTGAGTTCGGAGAGGATTTGGTAAAAAATGAGACACTTAGTCTCTTTTAACAAGGTTTAAATTAGAAAAGTCAACCGGATGTTGACTTATGTGTTAGAGAGATCGGATGTGAGTTATGATGGTTCGATTAGCTTCGGGAGGTGATTTATGGCTTAGGAGCATGATCGGAATTGGTTTTGGAGGTTCGGAGAAGAATTAGGCTTGAATTGGCGAAGTTGATATTTTGGCGATTTCCGGTTGATAGGTGAGATTTTGATATAAGGGTCGGAATGGAATTCCGAGAGTTGCAATAGCTTTGTTGTGTCATTTGGGATGTATGTGCAAAATTGCAGGTCATTCGGAAGTGGTTTGGTTGGGTTTTTGATCGAAAGCGTATTTCGGAAGATTTTAGAAACTTAGGCTTGAATCCGATGTGATTTGGTAGATTTGATGTTGTTTGAGGTGATTTGAGATTGGAACAAGTTTGAATAAGGTATAGGGTCATGTTTGTGCTTTTGGTCGAGGTCCCGGGGGCCTCGGGGTGATTTCGAATGGTTAACGGGAAGATTTGGGACTTGAGAGATTCCAGAAAATTGCTGCTTCTGGTGTTTTCGCACCTGCGGTTTAGGGACTGCAGGTGCGGTGCCGCACGTGCGAGGGAGGAGGCCAAATATGCGAAAGTTGGTTTGGCGAGCAGTTTCTGCAGAAGTGGTCAAGGTGGCCGCATCTGCGAAGCCGCAGATGCGGAATTTCTATCGCAGATGTGGTTCGGGCTATTAAGTGAGGGACCACAAAAGCAGGTTTTGGACCGTAGATGCGTAAAGGCCTGGGCAGAAAGTATATATTTCATCCTTCGCGATTTTTAAAGGGTTTAACCATTTTTGAACTCGGAATTGGAAGCTTTAGGCGATTTTGAAGAGAGAAATCAAAGAGACTTCGTTGAGGTAAGGATTGTGGATCTAAAACACACTTCTATGGTAATATTTCATGGTTTGGGACTGAAATTTAAGGAATTAAAGGACTAAAAATGGAGGTTTAGGGCTTGAGTTTAAGAGGGCTTAAATTGAGGATTTGAGGGGTCATGTGAACTCTGATTCTTGTGTTTTTGATATGTATGAACTCGTGGGGAGACGAGGAACCTATTGATGTAAAAATTTCTGAGTTTCGAGAAGTGGGTCCGGGGCTTGGATTTTGCTAATTTCGGGATTTTTGGTATTTTTCGATTGTTTTCGCTTGGGCTTTGTTCTCTTAGCATATTGTGACGTATTCGTTCTGATTTTGGATAGATTAGACGCACGAGGATGCTGATTCGAGGGGCAAAGGCGTCGCGAGCTAGAGATTTAGCCGGTTCGAGGTGAGTAATGATTGTAAATGATGCTCTGAGGGTTTGAAACCCCAGATTGCACATCGTAGTGCTATATTGAGGTGAGACACGCGTTTGATGACGAGTGTGGGGTCGTGTACTATTGGGGATTGTGACTTGGCCCATCCCGATTGATAATTTTACCGCGTATTTGAATGGAAAATATTTGTTATCATCATTATTTGGGCTGAATGCCATATTTGGGCCTAGTGCCAACTATTTGAATCCTTCGGGGATTTTTATTACGGTTTCCTCACTTTTTTGACTTATTGCTTGAACTCAGTCATGTTAATTTCCACTGTTTTATTACTCAGCCATTTTTACTCAATTTTGAGACTTAAATGATGTTTTAAATGGTGTTTTGGGCTGAGAAATATTGTTTTTCTAATGCCCGAGGGGCTTGTGATGATTTTTCGGACTAAGTAAGGCCGTGGGCCTAGTTGTGAGGATACACTGATACACTGATATGAGGCTGAGGGCCTGAGATACACATATATACGCCACGAGGTGGCTCGATTTATATGAGGTTGAAGGCCTAGATTTGATGCCACGAGATGGCTTGTTATTGCGCTTGGGCCGTAAGGGGCCCTCCCGGAGTCTGTACACCCCAAGGGGCTGGTATTGTTCTGAGATTAAGCCCGAGGGGCTGGTACTGTTCTGAGATATTGCCTGAAGGGCGGATTTGTGGATACTGAGCCCGAGGGGCGAACTTCTATTTGTTCACTTTATCTTAACTATCTGTCAAATTACCTGTTTACTAGTTGAAAGAGGATTTTACTTGACTTTTAATGGCTTTACTGATTTTAAGTGATTTTGCTGCTTCATTATAGAATGTTTTGTGCCTTGTGTGATTTCTTACATTCAGTTGTTATTTACATTTGTTACTCACTGAGTTGGAGTACTCACTTTACTCCCTGCACTATGTGTGCAGATTCAGGCGTCGCTGGTTCCGCTCCTGAGTACTGATTCCTCCAGTTCCAGGCGGTATTCGGAGACTACGAGGTAGTTGTTGGCGTCCGCAGCCTCGTGCCTCTACTATCTTGTCATTTTTATTTCCTTCAAACATTTGTACTAGTGACTTGTGACACCATGATTAGGGCTGTGTCAAGTTTAATTTTCGCATTATTATCTATATTTCCGCTATTCATGGCTATTAAATCATGTTTAGACTATTTTTTATGTTATTTCACATGTTTAAGTTGACAATTTGGTTCAATTGGTTGGCCTTGTCTTTACGGAAGACGCCATCACGACCCGATTCGGGGTTAGGTTCGTGACATTTCCTCTAGTCGTCCACCACTACAGTTAAATCTTAACGCTTCCTTCCTCTCCTATGCTTTCACCCCAACAACCTGTCACCTACTCACCACTAACTCTCCCCCACACCAGTCATGTCTTTACCTAACATACCTTGTTTTCATACCCTCTTGAGAGGATGGCCAACTAGCCTGTCTTTTCTTTCTCAAATGATTCACCCAAGCAGATTTGATTCGCAAATAAAATTATGTTGGAATTATGATACGGGATGATGATTTTTAAGATTAATAATTCTTAGATTATATACAGTATAAACATACCTTGGGTTTGTTGTAGTAAAAATGGAATATGCAATATAAAATCAAAAGGATGTGTTTGGTTTTAAGTTGGATAAACTTTGGTTTCCAAGTTTAAATTAAAATGACTTTCTTTGAGAAGCTAAAAAGGGTTTTGATTACTTGTTTAATTAAGTCACAAGTTTTTAATCCACCTTTAGACATAATTCGCCTTCTTGGCTTAGCAGCCAAATTAGATAGAGTTCAACATGTTTCCGAGTTTGTAATAAAAGCTAAAGAAGACTTTGATCAACTTGCCGACTCAAATGACTCCTTTTTTAATTAATCCTAACTTGCGTTCGTCCTCATCAAAATACAATTTTGTTCTACACAAAATGATATACAGTATAATATTTACACACTAGACACCATGCATTTCCTTGCTAAAAAACATAGTAGAATTTATTGAAGCAAAATCTCATATTTTAAACGAGTGGTAGCAAAACAATAAGGAATATCTCGAAAATTGAGTTCCACGACCTGACACCTCTACATAGAAAAACAAGACCAAACGAAAATGCCAACGCTGATTCACCAATGCACTCATTATTGTCACAAACAGGTCTGCCAATTTGCAGTAATATATTTATATTTAGTCGGCATATGCAAATGAGTGAATTGAAAGAATAGTTCCACGTGAAGAAGCAACTTGTAAACACCAAAAGTAGGTTATAGCAAGCATCGAGGTCTCATCAACTGTCATAATTCATACAGTCCAAATTAAACTTCAAATTAACATCTTTAATAGTTAATTAACCTAATTACTCTATGTACTGCTCTATTACCAAAATACCTATTGAGCGCACATCCATGGCTTAAGCATGCTTTATCTGTGGATCATCCTTCTTCCACCACCAGACAATCCTAAAAAGAACAAGGAAACAGAGATTAAACTATTTACCATTTCAAAAAGCTTCTGTACATAATAAAGAGCCTTTCTTTGAGGCAAAACAATAGCAAAGTTCACTCACATGAAGCCTTATTTACAAAAACTAGACAAGGCATGCTGACTTAAAAGACACCTCCCAATAAAGAAGGAACATCATCAAAGGACCATAAGTCCATAGCATTATCACCATCCTGAGTTGCACTTGAGTTGAGGAAAGTATCAACTGATGCATCCCAATTTCCCTCCAGATAGGGGATCTGAAGGAACTTCATCTGGGTTTCAAAAGCTGAAAGCTCTTCAGATAGCTTGTTTGCGGTATTTCCATCATCAGCTACTGGATTAATGGGGCTTGATTTCAGTTTTTTCATTGGACTGGTATCATCTTCAACAAGTTGAGATTCATTGCTTTCAATAACAGCTGACAGAACGGATGATATCTCTGGAGTCCTGGCACATGGCTCTCCCCAACCAAAATCAGAGCAGTCAAAAGAGTTACTTCCAACATCAGAGTTGAAGTAGATATCGGTACCAGCTGAAGGGGCAAATGAGCCAAATCCCGTATCTCCAGAAGCACTGCTCCCATCCTCACATCCAAACTGCTTCGTCATGGGTTTCTCTTCAAGAAATCCCAAAGAATCATAACAGCAATCCTCCATGTTGTTTATGATAGTCGAGTCGGGCTGAACCGAGTCCAGGATCTCCTTAGGAAGGACCTTTTGAGGATTCACCTTAACAGTACGTCTCGAGGCAGGCACTGGAGCTTCATCGGGAAAGTTTACCTTAGCTTTATTGCCTCTGATCCTCCTAGCCTCAACATCATAAGCTCTGGCAGCTTCTTCTGCAGTATTGAAAGTTCCCAGCCACACCCGAACCCCTTTTCTTGGGTCACGTATTTCAGCTGCCCACTTACCCCAAGGTCGCTGTCTGATCCCCCTATACTGATTCTTCCTCTTTCTCTTAGAGGATCTATCAGCATCCTTGTCTGAATCATCAGTTTTCACAGATTTGGAGCCTTCAACTAATAAAATGAATCAAGTATTTTAGTCATCCATTATGCCACTACAAGTTGCAATGACTAATTGATAAAATAGCATGATATATAGATAACCATAACGCACAAGATGCCTAATTACAAGAAAACATACAGAACACTTTCCCTGATATCAGTGGTGCTAGATTACTACAGCCAACAGCTTACACAAAAACACAACAATCAATTCTTCCCAAAATGTCTACGTATCATGATTAACAACCACAGAACTGAGAAAACCTAGATCTAAGCTTATTGCCTGATCAAGTCCTGTTCTTTTAGTTCTTTCTATAAGCATAATGAAGTAAATTCTCTGGAGGTACAGAGCTCATAATCCAGAGATCCTGCTCCCAAAAGTAACTATTTAGCAATCAAATTGGAGCTAAACAGGAGATTTTGACCCAAATAAACAACACACTGATAAAAAGATTGATTTTTATAACCACTTTTTGGTCTAAAAGTCTTCATAAAGTTTTCCAGCCAGATTCAATGTGATGATGTAGATGTTGATGAGTATTAAAGTTGATAAGACATAATAAACGTAAAAGTTAGAGAGAAAAAAACATGATTAACTTTCTGTTTGGTGCCAACGAGCCCTCAGATTAAAGGTTCTATCCAAAATATCCATCTTCATTTTTGCACTAACTCGGATTCATTGTTTTAGTTAATCAAGTAAAAAAAAAAGCATCTTGGCTTCTACCTATTTTCACATGCCGCACATTTTCCCTATTGCCAAAAAGCTACCTCCTTTTGTCCACTTAAATTTCAAATCTAATAACAATAACTTCACTAGCAGACACAAAATCTCAATCCAGGCCAATAATAGCTACAGTAGTCGTTATCAATCAATTAAATGAACTATTCACTATTCCCTTCCCGCAGCAGATCACAAAAGAGGAAAACAAGGTTTTTAAAAAAAATACCATTAGAGTTTTTCGAAGCAGAGAAGGCAAATGGCTTGACATCGACTTGAACATCCTCGTCATCGGAGAAATCTTTAAAGTCCTGAAAATCAGCCTCGAAGTCATCGTCTAGGTCAACTACTTGGGATCTCAACGGCTTGGAGTGATAATTGTTAGGATTTTTTTGCTTATTACTCAGATCGGACCGGCCCCATAGCAACTCGGCGGTGAGCCGGCGAGAAGTTCGGCTCGGGGCAATGTAATCGGAGATTATAGCACCACCACACATGCTTTTTGTTTTCTCTCAGCAGAAAAGTTTTATGCAGAAATCAGTTTCGTTTTTGACGGAGTAAACTTCTTTCTTTTTTACGGAAAATGTATCTAGAAAGCTCTTGGCTGCGTCTCCAAGAAATGCCAGCTCTTATTTATAAAGGGATGAGGGCAAGGCGGAGAGCTGGACTTCGGATTTACCTTAATGCCCCTTGGAGAGGCAGTCCTTACCAAAACTACCCTTCACTCAGAGGGTTAATATTATCATTACAAATATTTTAAGTGCCTCTTATTTTTCCTTTTGAGGTGTGTGTAAAGATGGAAGATATTTTCATCAATTTTCTTGTGTTTGATTATCGTGTAATGATTTATTCTTAATTTTAATAATTTTGAACTGTGAGAAAGTATTTTCTTCAGAAAAACTATTTTTATCAAAAGGAGAGAAATATTTCAGTATTTGACTACTTGTACATTGTCGTCTATCTTCAATAATTGAAAAATATTATTGAGAACTATCAACATACCTTGCTATATATATTGTAATAATTGCGTACATAAAAAATTCTTCTTGTATTTAATACCAAAAAATTATTCAGAAACTAGTCTTTTACTGAAATATACTATACGAAAAAACTAGCTACAAATAGTGTTATTCTTCGTATCAAGTGCTCGTAACTGATGATCATCCAACTATCTTTCAATTTCACTAAAGTCATTCAACTATTTTTTGTCACTTAAAAATAACTAAACTTTATTATTGTCAGTCAAAAGTTATCTTGGTTCAAACCCCTACCATAAATATGACATGTCATAAAATTTAATAAGAAAAATCCAAAATAAATATCACATAAGTTTAAATGGACCATACCCACTTTAGATCCATTTCTCCCTTAATGTGATTTGACCCATAATCCAAATAATTTCGATAAAAAAATATTAACTTTCATATTAGTTTAAAATAATTATCCTATACTACAAAATTCTTGTCTTTTCTGTTACATAATGACCATATATAATTATTCTATACTAAAAAAATTCTTCTCTTGTTTGTATGCCCCATCCGAGTCGTTTTATAACTCTACTTAAGTTAAAATACTATTGTATCCAACTAACATAATATTTTCATAATTTACTAGTGAAGTTAAAATAATATTGTATCCATCTCACATAACATATTAATATATCATAAGCATACAAGAATAATAAGGCTAAGCCAAGAACAAGAGAGCTACAACACTCAGATTGTTGAATGATTTAGGACCAGATGAGAAAATCATAATAGTCATCCAGCAAGAAAAGAAAAGACTACTTAGCGTAGTGGAATAGGAAAGAGAGCGTCAAGCACAACTTTCATGTCACCAGAAATTCTTTTTCGTTTATTGGGAGACTGAATGAAAAAGACTTTGTCAAACAGGCAAGATTGTTACGACGATCGACAGTTGAGAAATACTATCTCTAGGGCCCTCACTTTAGGGCTATCTTTCATCGTTGATAAGAATCTATTTTCACAAACTACTATTCTATTAATTTTAAATGTTGCTTTTAAGCAGCATCAGCATACAAATAACCTACTTAATAAGCAATACATGTAATTAAAGTGCATAACAATAATTTTATATAGACATACAATTACAGATAACCTATTGCAGTTGTTTAGACAAAGAAAGATTGTATCTGTACGATCAAAAACCCCCAAAGTTAAAAAAATTACAAGACCTAATTTTATTAGGGGTGTGCGGTTCCCCTCTATTGAAACCCATTTGGGTTATTAATTACATTAAGGGAGAAATGGATTTAGTGGGTATGACCCATTTAAGCTTATGTGGTAGTTATTTTTAAATTTTTCTCATTAAAATTTATGCCATGACATTTTTATGGTAGGGTTTGAGCCAAAATAACTTTTAAGTAACAATGATAAAGTTTAGTTATTTTTAAGTGACAAAAAATAGTTAAGTGACTTTAATGAAATTAAAAGATAGTTGAATGATCATCGGTGAAATCGACCCTCATAGTGCACGTAACATTCTTCCGAATTAATAAGTGTTCACATATCTGAATCTTAATGTAATGAATTATACATTTCACAATACATTTCGAAGCCGGTAATTGTTATATTTACAATAAAAATTGTTAGTACTTTATACCACTAGACTTGCTCGCCCTTTTTTCATTCATTAACATTAGCAGCAAATCGAAGTAGGAGCATTAAACTTCAATAATGCTGTGAGATTTCAGATTCAAATTATATGAAAGTAAAAACATTAACTGATTTATTCTCATATGTCCATATTTTGGTGTACATAATTACTTAATACCTTTGCTAATAGAATATAATAAATATTCCATGTAATTGACTGAGGTACACACAATCGAACACCACAATTATAAGCAAAAAATACTAGAACATTAAAGTTGGTGGGATGATTTCCTAAGAGTAAAGTGTCATTACATAAGCAATAGAATGTTCTTGCAATTGAATAGCCCAATCGTTCAACAATTGGTACACGAAACATGAAAACAGCGATCATGTTCGCCACAAAACTTGATTAAGACTTTTCTACCGTGGTAGGTTAAAGCTAGAAGTTATTTCTTTAGCATACCAACTTGTGGTTGATACATAGAATATAACCAAATTTGACTGAACATTTACTTTTCTTTGAATTACCTAACCTTATTCAAAGCCTTTACCGTTTCTGAACATGGCTTTTGGACTTACAGCTAAATAATGTGTGAATTTTGAAAAGGATTGCTATATCAAGCATGGACGGCGGATTTCTCTCAAATTTGTGGCATTTATGCCATGAGTATTCGTGAAGGCAAGGCCAACAACAACCCCCTATTTCCTCATACCACACTCTCAATTTAACTTTTTTGAGTAATTGCGTGAAACATGTTGGATTAAGATGTTTGTTTTACTTGGGTAAGTTGGAATATTGTATTTGGTTATTTCCACTTGTTCGTAATTTTTTTTGTTTCCCATCCGGTTTCGGTGTCCGGTACCTGTTTGAGTAAAATGTGTCAAACCTTTTGACTAAACCAATTAATGATGAAAAGAAGAGTAAATCTTAGCCAAGCATAATCAACTTCACATCTAAAAGTATATAGAGAGATCAAGAATGAAAAGTAGGAACACTCTAGATTTATTGATACTACAACCTTATCTTTAATCCGAGGAAGAAAGAATCAGCTTACACCCTTCACCAAACGAGACTGTAGGAGAAAAAGTAGGGAGGAAAAGTCTCGCCCCCTTTTTCCCGAGAATTCCCTTCTATATATAGTTCTTGGAATTTTACTGTGCTCTTTGACCAACGTGCTTTCGCAGGATGACCTTTTTCGGTGTTATTCGAGTAACGTTTTTATTTGACATACACTGTCGATGATTTGATTGGGATTGGTCGTGGTGCTTTCCGCTATTTCGCCAACTGGGCGAGATCCCAACTTGGTCGACCACTATGGTCAGATTTTGACCTATACAGTTAGTCCCTCCGTCCGTCGAGGTCATCCCTTGGTGGGCTCGGCGGGCGGACTCTGTAGATTCGAAGGCTAGGAGAAATCTGACTGTTCATACCTTGAACAAGGTGATTTAGATCGAGGCGATGTCGCAACGCCTTAACGATGTCTTTGGATCGTCGCGTCCGTTCGGAATCGAAATGTTGCGTTGATTTGGAACATCATCTGTAGTTACTACCATCATGACACACGTTTCCCGGGGATTGAACCATTTTATGCCCTATCAGTTTTGATTGGCGACTCTTGAGTTTGCCGCTTGGGGCATTTATACCCCTATAAATAGGGGAAACACTATTCTTATTGGCACACTTTTTTGATTTATCAAAAGAATTTTGCGAATTTTCATCTTCCCCTATACTTTAGATTTTCGATTCTCTTTTGTTGGTCAGAAATTGATATCTTCGTCTTCCATCTTACTTCCTTTGTTCATTCATTCTATTCAGTTGAGACAAATGGCTAGTACTTCTTCCCGTGCTGATAATCTTGCCGCAGTTCCGGCGTCGGAAAATGATATTCTTGCTCCTGGAGAAGTAGATACGGTAGAGGATGAGGGGGTTCCATCGGCGGCTGAAATATTGCCTCGTCCTGGGAAGCCGTGGACCGATTTCAACAGCCTTGCCGGAGAGGAACCAGAACCTGTTTCCTCTGTTATGGATAAAGTGGCGATTGCTAAGTTGAAGGCCAAGTGGGGGATTCTGCACCACGTTGAGATGCTACTGGCAGTAGGAGACGATATTATGCATTTCAAACGCCGAGGATATTGTGCGTTCTACGCATATCCTTTTATTGTCGGGTATACGCTTCCTCTCCCTTCCTTGGTGGTAGATTTCTACTGTTTCTACGAGGTGTGTCCGGCCCAACTTTCGTCGTGCTTATATAAACTGTTCCTCATGTTACTCAAGTTCGCGGACCTTACCGGTCAGGAGATCACTCTGAGACACATGATCAATATTTTTGCCCCTCAACTTATTTGAGGCACGATGATTCACATGCGCCATCGAGGGACGAAGAGCCTGGTGGTAAAGATGGACAATAGAGATAATCGTCGTTTCTACGAAAACTATTTTTATGTGCGGACCGAGCACCTTGTAGCGGATTCTGTAGGGTTCCTCGAGACTACCCCTTGCGCCTGTTGACGATATCTGCGGTTGGGTAAGTGCTATTCATCCTCATACGGCGGGAGTTCGCGAATGTTCGTCTTTCTATGAGAAATATGGATGTAAGCCCCGTACTAGTAAGCAGTCTTGCCGGAGCTTCCATTTTCCGCTTTACAATTTGGCTTTATTGCTTATATGACTTTTATTGTTATTAGGGAGAGTGCGAAGGTAAAGGGCTCATTCACTTGCATTTCGTTAGCCGACGTCTTCTGCTCGACCCATACTAAGGTCTGCTGTCCGAACTATGGCAAAGGCTGCTCAAGTTGAATCTACGGCTGTAGCCGTGTGCATAGATGTTATTTCCCAATCTGGGGCTCCGACTCCTACTGTCCGCTCGACGGGAGAATCTTCCTATGCTGAGGACGAGGAAGGGCCATCAAAGAGACGACGAGTGGAGTCCGAAATAGTTCCTTCAACCGGGGTATGTTCAAAGGGTGGCATTCCCTTGACGGAGTCTGAAATGTGAGGTGA